TTGATATTCTACTTATGTTGCTATGACTTTTTATTTGTCATTGGATCATTACTGAAAAGGAGCCAAAGTATACTACAATCTTTTTTGGGGTGGGGGAGATGTTTTATAAATAATCAATAAAAATGAATATCTATGCTCATTTTCTACACTCATAGCAGCTAAAGTATCATCACTGACCATAGATGATGCCTAGTAAAAACCATATTATGTTTCATAATAATTTAGTTTTGATCCCTTCCAGTTTTTTTGTAAAAATGAAATATAAAGGTTTGTCACTAAGTAATCAATTCTACATCTCCTCTAATGTATTTTATGTAAATATGTATCCATCTAAATCTGAAAAAAGTCAATTGCTTATTAGAATGTTTGTTAACTGATTAGCAAATGTACTCTTAATAGTATAAAAATCACAATTTATACAAAATGTGTACATTTATTGCTACACTATCTTATTTGCACATAAATATATATAGTATAATGAGTTTCTAGATATATAAGTATGTGTAAATTCATCACACTGTGGGAGTACAATCATCACAATCAATTGACAGATACTTTTGAAAAATTTAAGTGATGCAGAAGGAATAGCCCTTTTCTGTTAAACTTAAGCTATTGTTAAATCAAAAGTATTTTCTAAACCTAGAGGTGTCTTGGTTTAGATGATTACTGCTTAGCCAGAGCTACTATTTTAATTAACCAATATATATTTAAGTCACTTAATTAGTTTAATTGGTATTGCAGTCTTATTTACTATGGATCTTAATCAGAGTTGGTATTCAGCAGGTTCTGACCAGTTCTGCAGAAGCGATAGTGGAATTTTTGAGTAGTTCAGAGAACCAGCAAATACCACCTCTGACTAGAGATTTTACAGTATCCTTCCCCTGCCATGCCCACCAAGCCACGCCCACAGAACCAGTGGTAAAAAAAATTGAATCCCACCACTGATCTTAAGTATAAAACAACTCTGCAAAGCACAACATGCATTTGGAATGAAATGATATGTTGCCATTTTATAAAGCTTTTCCAATCTCTTGTTTAATTGAATAAATCTGAAGATACCATTGCTTTTCTCACACCTATATTATTTGCACCTTTATTAACCAGTATATTGCATTATAAAACATTTTGTTGCTTTATTTTCTTTTAATTGTCTGATTCTAATCAATCACAGAGGAAAAAGGACTTTTCAAAATTCAGAGCAAAAATTTAAATCTATACGAAGAATATGTCCCTGCTTCTAGTTAGAAGTAGCAACAGACTCATTGTTGACTGGAATAGCAAAAACCAATTGTAGTTGCCTTCAGGATTAGAGATTATTTAAGGAGCATGATACATCATCCTTTAAAAATCAGAATTGTGCAGGCTTTTACCTTACCAAGTGAATTGTTCAACTGTTGGTTCTTTTAATTGATGTTAAAAAGCAGAAACAACTCACCACTTCAGTGGTTTCATTATCAATCCCAAACTTAGTTTCCATACCTGTTGTCATTAGTTTACTGGTCTTTATATTTAATTGAAGCCATATTTTATTGTGTTAATAAATCATACAGATTAGTGCATTTTCAGCTATTAGAAAAATGTGATGAATTAACAATTAAAATGAATATTTTACCAAAAATTATATTTTTATTGCAAATAATTCCGATAAAACTAGGAAAATGTTTTTGAAGAGTTAAAGAGAATGACAACAAAATTTATCTGGCAAGGAAAGAAACCAAGAATTAAATTAAAAATGCTACAGGACACAGAATCTCTATATGAAAATACTGGTTTGGTTATCCACAATGGAAGCACTAATATATCCTAAAGTGTTATATCTGGATAAAATAGTAAGATATAAAGATATATTAAATGAACAAGGTGTCAGGATTCTGGCAGTTGCCCTAATTAAATCAGGAGCCTCGAGCCAAGCTTCAAAAACTCAAAGGATTTATCAGGAGCAAACATGCCATGACCTGTATGAAGCCGATTCTGAGGCACGTAATCCACTATCACCAGTGGTGATATTCAGCCGGTTCGCAACGGATCAGGTGAACCGGTAGCAAGAATTTGGCATGGGTCGCTGAACTGGTAGTAAGTTTTGGCTGGACACGCCCCCCCACCCGGTCGCCCTCCTGCCTGATGCTCTCTCACCCCGCCCGCCTGCCTGACATTCACCTAAGGTATTTCTTTTTTTTTCCCTCCTGATAATCAGCTGTAGATAAGATCATCTGTGCTGGGATTCCCCTTTCTAAGGCCCAGGAAGGCAAAAAATGGAGGAAGGAGCTCAGCCCTTCCCTCCATTTTTTGCCTTCCAGAGCCCCAGAGGAGCCTTGGGGCAGCAAAAATGCCCCCCCTCAGAGGCTTCTCTGAGGCTAGGAAGCTCCCAAAACGGAGCTTGGAGGAGTGTTGCATGCCCCTCCCATGCTCTGTTCCTTTTCTTCCTGAGCCTCTGAGGAGCCTTTGAGGAGCAAAAACGCCGCCCCCGAGGCTCCTCTTTGGCTAAGAAGCTCCCAAAATGGGTGGGGGCGGCAAAAAAAGCCATGCCCACCCAGACACATGGCAATGTCCACCAAGCCACGCCCACAGAACCGGTAGCAAAAGTTTTTTGAATACCACCACTGACTATCACCTATGAACCTGCTTTCCTCCCACCTCTCTGGGTGTATAATTCATATTCTCCAACAAAACATATTCATAGCTGAGAGTCATCAATCACATTCTCCAATTAGGGATTTTTGCAGCAGAAATTCCGGTAGCTTAATTGCAATCTTTTCAAGATAAGAATGGAATGCACTTTTGGTTTTAAACTGCCACACTGCTCCTTCAAATTTCTCCCCCCCCACACACTGTTCATGGCAACTCTAAACTAGGCACAGAAGTGTTTTATGCGTTGACACAAGGGAAATTAAAAATGAAACAGGAACTAAGGGAATCAACATGGACTGGTGGCTTTATATGCAAATACAGACGAGATATAAGAAGGATACAGATAAATATGGTTTCTATAGTGAACCACAATAATTGGATAAGATATTGCAGGGGACAGATGAAAAATAAATAAAGAAGTTCTACAACTACCTATTCAGTTTTAAATTGGAAGAATCGGTATGAATCAGTCAGCATCATATAAAGAAAATCTGTACAAAATGTTCTATAGATGGTATCTACCACCAGTAAGACTGGCAAAAATGTTTCCAAACATGTCACCAGAGTGTTGGAAATGCAAACAGGCACAGGGATCCTATTATCACATGTGGTGAACCTGTCCATTGGCAAAAAAATATTGGGCAAAGATTTAAAAAGTGGTTAGAGGAGATGGTAACACAACAAATAGGCTAAAACCAGAACTGTTTTTATTAGGCATATTAACAGGAAAATCCAATAAAAAAAATCCAATATTTAATTTTACAAGTAATAACAGTGGCTAGAATTACATATGCACAAAATTGGAAAAACAGAAGTATACCCACAGAGGAAATTGTAATAAAGAAAATATTAGAATGCACCAAAATAGACAGGTTAACAATGGAAATTAAAGACAGAGGAGAAACAGAGTATTACCTAATATGAGACCTATGGACAATCGACTAGAGAATAGATGCAAAGGTTAGAAAATGGATGACGAAAGAGTATCAACAAGTTAGAAACAAATATAGGTATAAAGCTATATAGAAGGATACATATTGTAAGCAATATTGGCACTAAATTGTACATAATTGCAAATCAAAATATATAGAGTGATAAATGGTTACAATAGATAGAAGTACGTTGTATAATATCAAGTTTTTATTCTTTTTTCTATGGACTATACTGTATGAAAAAGAGAAAAATGGTCACAACTAGGAAGTATAACATCATGCATATTTTAAAAAGGTGCTGATACAACCAGCATATCGTTGTTGCAAAATTGAAATTGCAATGTAAAGTGAAGGAAAATGTGCAGTAAAAGTATTTTTAAAAAGAGAGAGAAATGTGATGAACATGGCACAGATAATTGATATTTATTTCTCTGTCTTGTTCCAATACAGTTTGCCTCAAAATGCATTCAGTAAATAGGTAAAATAAATAAGAAGAGAATCTAGACTCACTTCTTCGCTGACCTAGTTTAGCTATCATCCATCCAGAATCTAGCTTCCTATTAAGTATAGGTTTTTCATCACAATGAAATTTTCCAGGATTACCATTTGTTTAGGGACATTCCACAGGTTGACATTATTTATACAATTGGACTACAATTTAAGAGAACATGAGTTCAAGTCCTGTTTTGAACACAAAGCCAGTCATTTTCTATCTATCCAAGGAAAGAGGAAATGCCACCACTTCTGAACTTGTCTCTGAGAATGGCAATCTCTGAGAATTGAAAACAGTTGGATGGAAGAAGGAAACAAATAAGTAAATCATACATTCTTTTTGTATTCTTTGGCTTTCTCAATTACATAATGTATATTAGCAATACTGTTGTTTGTTCCTCCTCCTTTTCTAAAACCAGCTTTAATATCTGGCATTCCTTTTCATGTAGGGAGATCCTAAATATTGTTTTAGTAAGAAGTGAATTAGAAGGTTATGTGGTAGCTACTGAGTAATTTCTTTGATATTAGTTTGTAGATAAACCTCTTCCAATTTTTGGCCACCATGTCACTCCTAAGATTTGCCTGCATACTTTGATTGCAATCTTTATAAATTATTTTGATACCTACATACTTCTACAGATTTTCATCAATTCCTGTAACATTCTCATTTGATAATGACCAGAATGCTGATCTAAGTCCATCTTCTTGAAAATAGGGAATATCTCCTAATATACCCTGGATGTTAACTTCCTCACTATACAGAATTTCAGCATTCTCCTTCATCCCTGATCTTCTTTGAATCAATTATTGCTTGTCCCCTGTTATCCTACAACATAGCATTTTGAAGATGGAAACTTTATGTGTTCTGGTGGTTTAGACTACTTTCCTTGTTTTTCCATGTCTGTTGTCATATTTGATATCTTTACAGATGTCATTGAAGTACTGTACCATGTCTCTTCTAATTGCAGTCTGAAAGTCTTCATTAAATTCTTTCTTGAGATCTTTGTCTTTCTTAATTTTGACTTCTCTTCTGTTATTGACAATTTTCACCATTTGTTCTGACATACAGTTTCTTCTGTTTCTTGATCTTTTGCAGTCTCGTTTCATATTAATCCTTAATAGTTTCTAGGATTTCATTGCACACTTCCTTCTATTAATGAGATTTAGGACTTCATAACAATTCCCAATATTTTCTTCAAAAATGGTGACTGTATAATCAAGATTAAATTGTGGAAACAAGCTGTCTTCATTCTCTGTCATAGCTTGCTTGGAAATTTCTCATGAGCTGTTTGTGAATTCTACAATTAGTCTCTGATAAATCTTCATTGTTATAATTGAGTTCTCCAATTCTCTTGGCCAATATATAGTCAAATTGATTTCTGTGTATTCTATCTGATGATGACCACATATATACAATAGGTATTATTTTGATTGTTGAAGAATGCATTAGTAACTCTTATGTATTCTGCCCAAAGTATCTTGATTTATATATTATTACAGAAGTTGATGTAATTTGCATTCTCTCCTAGCAATTGTGTGTTAAGTACCAGATTGCCTCTTATTCAGAAAGTTGCATAGTAAACCCTTAAGCTAAAATATTATTCAGCATAAAAAACAGAATGACATTTTAATGTGGAAAGCAATTTCAGATATGGGTTCATTGATTCAGAAAATTGGTTTAATGCAAGTTATCAATATATTTTCTGATGTCTTATACTTTGCTGTTGTTTCCTTTTGTTTTGTGACATAAGTTTATACAAAGTTCAATAATCACAAACAACATTAAAACTTGCTTTACTAATGAAGCATCAGTGCAATATTCTTCTAATCTATCCAGTTCTACCCTTGTTGAAGCTTCAGAATAGCTTAGTGGAATGTTGAAAAAGAAGTTCACATATTCAAAATAACATTTCAATTAAAATTAAACTGGCAAGTAATGCTATACTGAAATGTCTAAATGTAATACATGCATGATTGCACTCAGAAGAGGATTTATAAATTAGATTATATAACTAAATACATCAATTACATCATCCTTTCTTGTACTACAATATTGGCATGATATTGTAACTAAAGGAAACAATTTTTAAATTATTAAAATTAATCATTAATAAAAAATTATGAAATACTATAACATTGCATCTGTCTTTACGTAAAAGGAAGAAATAGTCCAACCTACTAAGCACTATAAAAGACAGAATCAGAATGCAAGTCTAAATAGACTGGAAAATTATAAGAGAACATCTGTCTACTCTAGAGGAGCCCAAATCACCAGGACCCAATGGATTACACCCCAGGATGCTGAAAGAGCTGAATCTCAAAACCACTGAACAAAATATTTCAACGGTCCTGGGACACTGGAGAAATACTAGAGGACTGGAAAAGAGCTGTTGTGGTTTCAATCTTTAAAAAAAAATGTGGATTCAGGATATGGATATTAGACCAAGCAGCCTGAATTCCTGAATTTACTGGGAAGTTCCTGGAAAAGACAATCAAGCAGTGTATTTGTGAGCCAAACCTTATTGCCTTAGTGACTAAATTATTGGATAAGGGAAATTCTGTGGACATAGTTTACTTAGACTTCAGTAAAGCATTTGACAAGAACTCTTGGTAGGACAGAACAATATGTGATAGACAGTACCACCACCAGATGGATTTGCAACTGGCTGATCAACCACATCCAGTGGGTAGTCCTCAATGAAACTACATCTACGTGGAAGAAAGCATGTGGTGGAATACTCCAAGATTCTGAAGTAGGTCCAGTACTCTTCAACACCTTCATAAATTATCTAGTTGACAGGATAGCGGGGGAACTACACTGAGACTATATCAAGCTGGGAAAAATAGCTAATACGTTAGGTGATAGATTCATGATTCAGAAGGACTTTGACAGATTTGAACACTGGGCCCTATCCAACAAAATGCAAATGGTAAAACAAATTAATTCCTTCACATAGGCAAATAAAATCAAATGTACAGATAAAATAGTGCAACAATAGCAACTGAAAGAGATCTAGGTGTCCTGCTAGACCACCACTTAAGTATAAGCCAGCAATTTGCTGCAGCTGCCAAAAAATCTAATGCAATATCAGGTTGTATCAATAGAAAGATAGTTTCAAGATTACATGAAGTGATATTACCACTTTATACTGCATTGGTAAGACCACTCTTGGAATACTGGATCCAATTCTGATCACCAGAAAGATGTTGAGACCCTAGAAAGGGTGCAGAGAACAGCAAAAAGCTGTTAAGAGGTCTGGAGGCTAAACCGTAAGAATAACATTTGCAGGAACTGGGAATGTTTAGTTTAACAAAGAGAAGGCTTAAGAGTGATATGATAGCAGTATTCCCATATTAGAGGGATTGTCACAGAGAAGGGAAGGACAAGAAGTAATGTGTGGAAGATCATTAAAGAGAAATCCAACCTAGAACAAAGGAGACAACTCCTGACATTGAGAACAAATCATCAGATGAACAACTTACCTCTGAAAGTTGTGGGTGCTCTGTCACTGAAGATTTTCAAGAACAGACTGTACAGAATGATATAGGGTCTCTTTCTTGTGCAGGGGTTGGATTAGAACACCTCAAACATCCTTTCCAATTCTATTATTCTATGCTCCATATTCTACTATCTAGCAAAATCTATTCACTACACCAGCGGTAGCCAACCGGTGGGCTGCAGCCCACTGATGGGCTGTGAGAAAATTTTGGTGGGCCGCACAGAAATCTCACCCCCAGAACACTGCCAGAAAGCAATTAATCCATGATGCACAGAAACACAAGACTGCGCCGCCCACATGGCCCGTGGGAACCCTCCCCGCCCACTCGCTCCTTACCCGGTAAACTTGTCTGCTAAGTTGCTATTTTTCCTTTTTCCGACCATCATCTGTTCTCCTGTGCTGGGAGATTTAGATTAGCTAGGAAGCAGGAAATGGTTGGATTTCTTGCTTTCTAGCTAGTCTTTAGATCTTCAGCTCAGCACAGCCGAACCTACCTTAGCTGAAGGTTTTCTTGCAAGCAAATTCAGTGCAGACTCACGGCAAACAAATTTGAGAGACTGAGCTAGCTGATGGCAGAGATAGATCACTGAATGATTCTGTGAGCAACTAAATCTGCCTGCTTTGCTTGATTTGGGGTAAAAGTTGCTCTTTTTTTATAAAAAATTCAATATTTACATGCATGGTGTGTTGTGAGTTAATTTTGTGAGTTTGCTTGTGTGGTGGTCTCTCATGGAAAAAAGACACAATGCAAGGTTGTCCTGGGATGAGAGCCCAGAGCAAACTCCGAAACCCTCTTTTATTAGAAGCAATCTTTGTTAACGTAGCAATTTTTGTTAACGTCCTATCACAAACGCATTACATCACACAACATGCACTGATCATTCGCATAAAGCATACAAAGCTGCAAAGTTTAAGTTTGCTACAGTTCTGGTTAAGAAATGGCAACAATTTGTCCTTGCTCCTTGCTCCGTGTTCCAGCCAACCACCAGAAGGCTCCGTTGTCCTAGCACATACACAAACAACAAAGAATCATAGTTCCCACATCTCCCCTGTTTTTGTTTTTTCATGCCGGCGCAGTCCTCGATAGGTTTTTGCAGACAATAGGAACTGATCCCTTGAGGGCTTTGTCACGTCTCTACATGTCGTTAGCAGTCCAGGGAGACATTGAATACAGCAACAAAGGAAAATGAAACATACAGCAACAATTATAATGCCTATAATCATAGATCGAAGCCAAGCAGAGTCAGGAAGCCAGGACCAAAGGAATGACCAAAAATCAGAAGGGACCCCATAATTCAGCAAAGGATTCTCTCTAATGGATTCCTCCATGTGTTGTATAGTGGCCGTGATGTTAGGGGATGAATCAATAATATACATGCAGCAGTGCGCATGTATCACAGCACAAACCCCTCCTTGCGCGGCCAAAACCACAAATCCTGACCGATGATATTTACAGTCTTGTTGTCCTGGGAGAAAATAAGCTGAGCAAGTCCCGAAATCATGTTGCAAAGAAACGGGTTGCCTCCCGTGGTTACTCTTGTCGGACAGTCATTCTGTATCCGAGGGCAATTCCCAGTGACTAGCGCAGCACAGTCATGTCCAGTAAAGTTGTGCACAAATACATTAAGAGTGTTATTTAAAAATGTGTTATTGCACGTTGTATTCTGTATTGTCAATGTGTAATTACAATGGGGATATCGACCAAGATCTGTTAAATGTCCATGGCTGATGTTATGAGTCCAACATACCCCAGCAGTTTCTTGTATGCGGCTGCCCAATGGAATCATGGTCATGTTCTCATCCGCAGCTTGTAACACCTGATAACTAGAAAAATCAATGTTCTTCCATTGCGACTCATTCAAAGGGACAGCTACCAATGGCAATCATGCGGTTTTATGTGTAGGCATATGAATACATACCCAGCAATCAGTTTTGTTCTCCAATTGAGCAATTCGAGGCACATCCTTAACATAAGAGTTTTTTCCCCACATCCCATGGTTCTTCCCTTTACACCTCTGGCTTGTGATAAGGGCGGACATGACGACCAGGAACCCAAATGACTTCATTCTTGTCTTCAACTGCTGCATAGCCACGACACCATGTTATCAAGGAAGCTGGCCCCCTCCAAGTGGGGTCAGGTAGTTTTCTGTATAACACCAGCGGCCTCATGCCTCCTGCAGAAGGGAAAGAAGAAAAATGCCTGGTGGCCGCCATAGTGGCTGGTGTACCAGTCAAGTTGAGAAAATTTAAAGTATATAATGCAATATTTAAGGTATTTTGTAACCCTGGCAATCCGTGCCCCATGTCCCCTATTTTTGTTTTTTGATTGTCCAATGCACGCTTGAGAGTCTGATTAGCGCGCTCCACAATAGCTTGACCTGTGGAATTGTAAGGAATGCCAAATTTATGCACTATGTTCCAGGTGGAACAAAAGGTGGCAAAAGCCGAACTAGTGTAT